TGAGCGCTGCGATTTGGCTCGTGAATCCCTCCCTTGAGCAAAGCGGCCCGTAGCAAGAAGAAGGTGAGCAGCTGACAACTGCTCTCGGTGTACAAAGGACCTAGCAGGTTCTTCACATATATTATATATACAGATCTTGATAATTACAAGTGTATCTACACAGGCAGATAAATAGTTGCAGATAGTTAGCTAGAGAGACACAGCAAGACAGACAGACAGACAAACAAACATAAATAGATCGGATAAAGGGGTAGATAGATAGACAAAGAGACAGAGAGACAGATAGATAGACAAAGCAATAGGTACACAGGTAGATGGATAGGTAGGTAGACCCATCGACAGATGAAGGGACACACAAATAGATAGGTAGATAAGTTGGTAGATAGACGGATAGGTAGATAGATAAAATAGAAAGACGCGCACACACACATACACAACTACATGCATACATACACACATACATACATACGTATATACATACATACATACACACACACACATCTATACAGCTACACACTCACACGCATGCATTCATACACAAGTACATACATACATACACATATAACATACATACGTACATACTCACAAACACACACACATGCATACATACATACGTACGTACATGCATACATACACACACACACACACGCCAACCTACACAACTACACACTCACAAACGCGCATGCATACATTTTTGGCACTCGCACTCGACCAAGTCAGGCGAGGATCCCGGCAACATACATACAAACATACATACGTACATACATACACAGGGATACATACGTACATGCATACATATATACGTGCATACCTACATACACACACACATACATACATACATACATACATACATACATACATACATACATACGTACACACATAAATACATACATACCTACATACATACATGAATACATACATACATACATACAGACATACATGCATAATACATGCATGCATACATACAGACATACATGCATAATACATGCATGCATGCATGCATGCATACATACACATACATGCATCTATATAAATAACTACATACATCGTTACACAGCATTACAACACATGACCCGATACTCATCATTCATTACTTCCAAGCAAATGCACGCATACATGTACGTGTGCATGTACATGTAATTGTATGCACGCACACCTACCCATGTATAGACCTCCAAAGTACACACAGCTCAAGTTCCTCATCCAGAACTCCTCAAAAATAGTGTTGATGATATCCTCTTGCGACCCGAAATCCGAACGGAAGGTGCCAGAGTGTCGGGGTCGACGGTGGCCAGCTGCAGCTGCCTCATCCACTGCCAGGTTTTCAGATTCAGGGGCAGGTGTAAAGATAGATACCGGGCAAGCTTTGCGACGGTGCTGTGACACTCCATCCCCGACAAGCAACTCCATCGTACCATGGGCGAGATCGCACAAATGACAACCCAAACGAAGGCACTAGATTGGACAAAAACCTGTTGGAGACAACTTGTCTCATACATACAGTCTGAACCGTGCAGCGTGAGGCCTCTCTAAGCCCGTATTTCTTGGACTACGGCTGCACATTGGCATGGCTTGCTGGCTGTCCTCTGGCTGCTCAAACCCTCCTCTGACGTAGCAGCTAGCAGTGACCTCTGAACGGCCGAGCCACTTACGCTTGGCTTCCCGCCGCCAGCGCTTTGGGCGTCGGGTACCACCGTGATTCCTAATTTGGTGGCTGCCGTAACTTCACGGTTCCATGAGCTACACTCAAAATCCATCTGCAAACTCTACGCCGTACCGGCAGACGATACTGTATCGGGATACCAACCTTGCGAACCAGTCTTGCAGCAGCAGCAAGTCGCGAAATTTGACATTGCAAGGGCAGGTCCAAATTGGAAATGCAGCTCAAAGCAACTCCATAGTTGTCAAGAATCAGTGCTGCTTTCAGTGCCACCACCCAGGACACTTTGCTTGCAGAAGGCATGGCTTGATTCGCCGTCGGCAACTCCTCGCATCGCAGCTCAGTTGACGAGATGCTTGACTTCGGCATTCCGAAACATAAACCTGTTTAAATCTTGGTTTCGAGCGCCAAACCGGACATTAGAACATGGCCAGAAAACCTCCGATTCAAAGCTACAAGACAGCCGGCGACCCATCCCTTTCGTAGGTTTTAAATGCACACCCGATGTTTCTCGCTGCAGGCAGCACAGGCCCTTGTCGGACAAGAGCTCGCCGCGCATAGTCTGATGCGAGTGAGAATCTAAACCATGGTCTCGAGTACGCTGGTTGTCGGGTTAGACCAACAGAAATGACTAGAGACGCCGGGAACTACCACGGAGGATGTCCCAAAAACTCAGCGAGCAGCCTGGGCTGCGCTGGAGCAGTCTCTTGCTAGTCTTTTGTTATAGGCAAGCTCTTGACTGCCATCCCAGAGCTGGGAAGTGAACTTTGCAGCGTAAAACTTCAAACAATCTCAAATCAAACTTGGCCCCAAATTCTCAGGCACCAGTCCGTCATGCACCGGCACTCAATACTTCCTACAGTGCTTCCTACTGCAGAGATCACGAAACATAACGGTGATCTCCTCCAGGCTCTTGTTCTTGCTCGCTGGAGCGGAAATCGTGCAGTAGATTCCAAGCGTGTTGGCGGCGACCAGCACCCAGCAGAAGTTGAAGCTCCAGCTGTCAATGAGGATGGGCGTCAGGAAGCGGGCCCGACCCCTGAAAAGACCATGGCCGAGAAGGGCAGTTCCCAGGGACAGCCCAGCAAGCATCCGTGGTGGCTACGGCCCCCCTGATGCGATGGCTGAGCGGAAACATTTCTGACAGTAGACCCAAGGCATGTTACCCCAGCCGTAGGCAAAGTTGAGGATGAAGCCGCAAATGGCAAGGATGGCTGTGCGCTGCGACAGCATTCATCACTAACACTACCAAACAAATCGGAACAACACCAGAGACATGCCGACAACCTGGGGACAGAACACTCAAGCTTCCCAGTCCAGGCGGTCTGGCCATGAGATACTCTAGGCTCTTGTCCACCGATTTTTGCTTCATTTCATTTGCCGTACAGTAAATGAGCAAAACTGGAGCCGAACACAACCAAGTCCGAACAGGAGACTGGTCTCGACAATATCGTGCAGCATGTCCCTCTAAAAATCATTTGCGATAACCAAAAACAGGAAAATTGAAATTATGTTTGATTTGCTTGATGTTTTCTATTTTATTCAACGTTCATCTTTCTAATTGTTCTATTCACTGTGTGTTCCTAGTTGTGCTCTAAGGTTTACTATTTTTCCAAGGTTTTCAGCTTTTCCCTGAACTTTCTGAGTTGTTGTTGATGTTTAGCGTGGTTTTTTCAGCCAGTTGTTTTTTGATTTTACTGGTGTTTGCTTTTAGAAGTGTCACTTTGGCGGTGCTGCATCGGATTCTGGCACATGGTGGGGAAAATTGGCGGCAGATTCGTTTGGTTGACGGGTCTGGCGGACACCGAACCTGGCTTGAAGCTGAGGTTTCGTACATGGAATCTTCTCTTGATCTGACCACCTAAACAGCTTGCTTGAGGCAATTGTTCCAGCACACAGGGTGGCAACCACGAACAGCAATGTCGGTTAATGCGAAATACGTCCTTTGTATTCAATATTCTTCCTCAAGCTCTCCACGGCACTTGGGGCCCTTTTTTCTTGGAAGAAACTAGCCAAGACATTTCCTGTGTTCTTCTGTGTTGATGGATCTTGATGAATTTGCGAAACCTTTCCACATGCTTCTTATATGTGGCCATCTTTTGTTTGTGCTTTGGAAATTTTTCCAAGAATGTTTGTATTTTTGGGCCGGGAAAGCCTTGTGCGAAGAAACACAAACGCGCAAAACTTTTCAGTTTCCGAGAAATACAAACTTAGTTTTGTGATATCTGTTACCAAAAATGTGAGCGCCTGTCCCAGTTGCCTTCTTCTGGCCGGTTGTTAGCTGAAGAAAACCTATTTCTAGTCACTTCGGTCCAGAAAGCCTGTCCCATTGCCCTGTTTTCGTCGGTTGTTAGCCGAACTGGAGGGCATGTCTCAGTTGCTTTCTTCTGGTCGGCTGTTGGCTGAAGATAATATTGCTCTTTACGTGGGTTCCTGGTAAAGGCCTCGCCCTTGCTGTCAGTTCCGGTGTGCGCACGCAGCCTTTGGGTGAACAGTGTGTGGGATTGTGTTCGTTCCTTCGGTAAGTTTTCTGATGTTTTCTAGTGTTCCCTAATGCTTCCGAATGTTTGGACCTCCTATCAAAACATCTTGACCAAATGAATGATCAATACTCCCACAGAGGCACCAAAATCACATGATAAGTAAGTGACAGTGTGCGTAGGGAACCCCTTGTATTGAGCTAATTTTCTGTAACAAGCATGTGCTTGTGTTCCTTGTGGGTTTCACATGGAACTCCCCGAGCGAACTTCTGGTTGCAAGGAATTCCCAGCTTTTCTACGGCTCCACATCATTGGCAGGAGCCTTCAGGGTGTGGCGCTTTCTGAATCGGGGCGGTGTCAGCTTCAGCTGCTCTTCGTTCAGAGTCTGCACACAAATACCTCGCGGCCTGCCTGCCTGCCTATAGTAATACTAAAACATACGAAAACACTACATGCAAGCGTACCAGACGGACAGAACTGAACTAAGCCAGGGAAAACAACAAGCTTGTGCTGTCCTCCTTCGGCTCTGCACTGGTCGCGGCCGCACTGCTGTATCCACAAGCCATAGCCATCCTCGCAGAAAGCGGGATGCTGGCTTCTGCTGGCATCAGAAAGCCGTAAACCACTCGGGCGAGCTCCGAAGCCCCAACTACTAATTCAATGAAGCTTGGAGGCTGTCTGCGGTGATGCCAGAAGGGCTGCCGGCGTGGCAGCAGGGCTTTAGCCCAGCATCCTTTGAATACCATGTCACAACGTCACGAAAGGGCAGAAGTGCTTCGAACATCGCACAGGGACTCCTGGCTTGGGTGCACTGCTTCGCTCTCAGACCTGAGAGTCGCCTCAGCCTCCTGAGCTGCTTCCCAGTTCAAGCCGAGGCTCCAGCGCCAGCCCTCCCCAAATGGTATGGCACCATGAAAACCGGTTTGAGGCTTACGGCTTAAAAGGTGAAGATGGGTGATTTCCATGCTTGTGTTTAAGTTCAGAGTTGCTTGTTCAGGAAAGTCGACAGCTTCAAACTCAGCGCATGCAACCGCTGGTACGCTCCTAGTTCCGGCCGTGAAGCAAAATGCATTTCAACAGTCATGTGCAAGCTGCGGGTTGAGCCAGGCTGAAGTTTCTTCGACCTGCCTTAGATCGCAAGCCTCTTTGAAGCGTTCAATGTCCCGGAAGCTCCCTTCAAGTCCCTGCAGCAAGATCGGGTGGCACCTGGATTCTGCGCGTTTTGGGCCTGGATGGCATGGAGGACCTGAGCCAAAGCCAACAGAAACGAGCCGCCTCGAAGACATGTACCATTCCGGTACAGTCCCATGGTGTCAGGAAGGCTACCATTCCAAGCGAGAAGCTTGTGCAATAGCTGCAATAGCATGACCTATAATATACATGTTTGACTGGCTTGTCGATTACGATAGAGTGCTGGTGTGGGTGAGCAAAACTGCAAGCCCTGCAGAAATGCCGCAACGTCTCCCAGAGAGACACTAAGAACCCTAGAGCTGCACATAATGCACTTGCTGTGCTTCTATGCCTCAGCAAGAGAGCGCTATACATTCAGCACCCAAATCGATGCCGACCCATCCGAATCCTCCCGGATCTATGCACGTCAGAACCCAGAACAACAGAACCCTGCTTGGAGCACGGGAAAGTAATCTCTGAACAGCTCCCTGCCTCGGGGTTCTGGCAGGTGTGAACCCACTGGACCTCGGGGGTCCGGAGCTTTAGCTACTGACTCTCGGTCTCGCTGCGGTTACATCTTAAAAGATCGAACTTTGCCGCAACGACAAGCGATGACGGATTAGTCAGCAAGAACCACTTACATAATCTTCATCATCAACACAAACATTGTTCGAGTAGCAGGTCGCCATCAGCCCATGCTACGAAGCCACTGTGTTTCAGACTGATGTGGTTCTTTTTCCAATCCGTAGTCAATCAATAACGAGCAGCACGACTATTCGTCGTATGTGTGGGTTTCTGTGCCGGCGAGACTTCTGGCTATGACTGCGTTTGGGATAATGATGCCAGTCTCACACCACATGCTCGTGCACGCTCTGTCCACTTCGGGCTCTCGGACAGTATGCCAGAAGGACCTTTGCTTCTGACATTCTAGCGCCTACCCGCTCCTCGCTGTTTCAGTGGACTGGCCGTCGTAGAGGGTCACAAAAGTCGCCAACCACCACCACCTGACACACGGCTTTGGGAAACTCTAAATCACAAAGTACTGGATTGGGTTTTGCACGACGAAACATGACCTGCACGCACATGCTATACAAGGCCATTTAGCAACCTGTGAAAGAAAACTGCGACACCTGCATGCACTCACTGTCACTAGACTTCGCGACAAAACAGTTTGTCAGCCAAGGAAACGGATTCGATGAGTGGTCGCTTCCACAGCTGCGCCTCCGGACAATTACATGCGTCGGCAAAGTCTCGAGTCTGAACTCGGTGTGTGCCGCCGGGTGTTGCCCGTCAGCAGCGCTTGCAAGGCTGTTTTACTGATATGTGACTTTCTTTTATGAGCATGGAACATTCGATCAAACAGTTGGTCCTATATCCAGGTCTGCTGCGGCCAACCCCACCAGATTCCCTCCAGCTTTGAGTTCAATGTGCTGACTGGCCATGTCGCTGGCAACTCTCCCACAGTGCAGCCTCGGCAAGTCCGGTCTGGGGCTCCATCACAGGCCTCAACTTATGGATGAGCTCAATCGAACTGAGAGAAGACGAAAGAAGCGTATAGGCACTCCCTACGGCACATCCAACCCTTGCTGGTGCACACCAGAGGCAGTGAAGAAACGCGACCGTCATGTCTGTCCAGCTGTGTTCAACGGGCTT